AGACGTGGCCATGTGCTGCGCTTGCCTCTGCTGACACTACAAAGCATCCGGGGGCCCAAGAGCCCCCGGCACGCCTGGTTCCAGGAGAGGAGGGGATCCCTTCGCCTCCACCTTTTTCAGACTCGCGCACACACGCGCGCGCCCAGAGGAGCATACCTCAATACCTTACGAGTGAGCCGAGCGCCCTCCCCTGAGTGGCTCTCCCTGCGCAGCATGCTGGCGAAAGTTTCGCAATGAGCAAAGATTATCTAAGCAAAGGAACAATCATTCAGCCCTAATATATGTGTATCGATCAAAAGCAATCATAGGTGCAATGTATACACCGGAGGAATTGGTGCATAAGGCCCCCATGAGGCCTGGCTGAAAGATGTGCAGAATGCGCATATCCGGGTACTTCTGGCCCAAAAGCTGGCGCTATATCATGGACATCACCGGTTCGACACACTCACGCGCTGGGCGTACTCAGATCGAACCGTAACATGATACCGTCCATGATTCGTGGCATGTAATCGACACTCGCAAGGTTGAAACTTGCCTTTTTCCAAGGCACATATGTCGGATAAAGTGAAATGGTACTAAGCTCCAATCTAGACGCGACTCACCGGCGCGTACAGTTCAAATGACTGCTCTTCATTTAAGCTGAATGAAGCATCAACCTAAAAATGTGGCCGCCTGTCGAGTTTGTATGTACAAACGTAGTCAGGTGGATGATAATGAAAACTTGCAGCCTGCATGTTGGATGTACATGCAACATGTATATTGTGCTCTTGGCAACCCAGGCGTTGGGCCCGCCATGCCAATTATGCTGCATGTGGTAGACGCAGCATGTGGTAGACGAGTCCTGTGGAGTCTCATTCAAAGCATGCAGCCGGTAAGTTAAGGGCATAAGGCCTCGCCGCCATGTCGAACCTCGTATAGAGGACACAAGCTGCGGTCAATGCAAAACAAGGCGCCATCCAGGTTGAGCGCCCGAGTGAGAGACGTCGAGAGGTTTGGGCGGTTATTACAGATAGCTGGCTTCTTTAGTGTCGTTCTTCAGTGTCGTTGATTCCAGAAGGGAGATAACCTTGGACTCGGATCATGCTCAATCCTCCTCAATCTCTGCAGGCTCGGCGGGCTTTTCTCGTTTCGTCCTTTGGGGCCCTAGGGTAGGGAAGCGTCGGGCCACGGCCGCAGTGTCCAAAACGCCCCAAACCTGGAGAAAGAACCAACAGGCTTCAATGCTTGCAGTCCCCCCAAACCTTTCGCCTCAGAATCAGATTTGCAGCCTATAGAAGTGAAGCCCATGGGAAGTGGGGAACCATCTAGGTCAATTTGGGTATTCTCAAATCGCAGTGCTAACATGGGGCAAACATCAGTATTAGCTACAAAGAAGACGCCCGAGTCTGAAGAGGTGGACCAAGTGGCGAGCTGGAAACGTTTCCATGATTGGTCCGATCGGTGAGAGGGAACAACAGATGTGCCGTCCAATACAACGGCAGTCAAGCTGAAGATAGAAATTTGGACTAGAGCGCCTTACGTTTAGTTCACCCTTCGATCCTCCGTTCGCGAGCAGATGGGGGGCGTCTTTGCAGAAGGAAACCGAAAAGACAGCTCCCTGTAGGGACAGAACGGGTGAAAGCTTTGCAACTTCGCTAGATCCGCAGGCTCCCATGCACCTCTACATCGATTTCTGATGCGCCCGGGGATTCGCCCCGTCGCAGCATGAAAGTTATCCTGGCCTATCACGAGCCAATTGAGCGGGGTCGATCAAGATCCAATTGAACAGATCGAAAGGCCAGGAAAGACCCAGGCAATCTGCAAAGTCATATTGCGCGTGCACTTTTGGGAATCGACACGCAGTACGCGGGCCGCGACCGTGGGACTTATACAACGAGAGGAGGATTCTCAAGGAACTTTAATCCTGCGCCTCAAAAATCTGAGAGCTTCATCAAGCCTGATCAGCAAGCAGTGCTCACCACTTTCGGGTTCTTCGAGGCCAGCATGGCTGGCCGGTGTCCTGTCGTGTCCCACAGCTTAACCTGGAAAAGGAAGAGAGTGCGCCCATCAGCAGGGAGGAAGTAGATCAGTGGAAAGACAGCCTGCTTCATGGGTCAGGAGGCTCCTGTTTCCAACAGGCATGCTGCGAGCTCGAAAGAAGGAAAGAGGACACCGCCAGCTACTACGTTCTTTCAATCGCGCAGTTTCCTTGGGAACTCGTGCCATCAGAGCTCAACGGACGGGAGAATACAGCAGGACTTAGTGTTTCGTCGCCAGAGGTGATGGGCCCGACAAGAACAACGCCCGGTTACCCTGGTGGTAAAGGCTGTCGCTAGGGGGCGTTGGCTTACCATTTTGTCTGTCGATCCCGTTGCTAGGAACTGCAATACAGACATTTGAAAATGGTCAAGCAAGGAAGTTCGAAGAAGGGTTGTAACTGCCCTAAAAGCGGTAGCTGCAGACGCGATGCACTCCGAACCTCCTCCGAAATTCCTGTTATATCCCTTGCCTACTTTGCCCCCCCTACTTTGCCAAAACATCTGTCAAGTACACTTGAAAAACTCTGCCAGGACTTACAAGCACTACACACTGTAAGCCTAAAAACTTAACAAGAAGACAGATATAAATATACACTTATCTCCAAGCGCTTGCGCGATATCAACGCTTCAAATCCAACTTCTCAAAAGTTCGCAGTCCCTTACGTTCGGCACTGCCGGATTGTACGACACTGAACACGTCGGCTTGTCGTGCGCCGCCAACGTGAACAGCGCCCCCTCGCCTGCCGCCCCACTACTGCTCGCCCCGTCCGCCGCCCTCCCTTTTCTGACGTCATGACACCGCACCAGACCGTCTTCCGTACTGACTACGAAGTACTGCGGCGCGTGCGGGTCCCACGCTGCGCACTCCACGTCAGCAGAGACCTGCCACGTCAGCGCGGGCTGCTGCGGGGAGCGCATGTCGATGACTGCGGCCATTTTGTCGAAGCCGCCGCTCAGGAGGACCGTCGGCTCGGCGGGGTTCCATACGACCGTTTGGACCTGCGCACAGCAAGAGTTACAAACCGCCTGTCAGGGACCAATGCAGAAGGACCTGCTTGTCGAAAGTCCGATCCAATTGGAAGATTTGGAAGGATAGTTGCAGACAATCGACAGGAGTTGCCTAGTTGACGCTGCGGCGATGACTAGAATCCTTTCGACGCCCGGCCCCGAAGAACAGATCCGACTTCGGAGGTGGTGACACTGCGGGATTGCAACCGGGAATAAGCGTTGCCGGGGTGAAAAGAAATCGAAGCACTAAGAGTGTCGCAGCGCTTCGCAGCAGCGCAACAACTGCAGGCTGAGAAGCAATCCGTATGCGGCACAGGATTATCAATGCAGTCAAATTGGTAGGCCGTCCACTCAAAATAGCACCCCATAAACGCATCTGAAACTGGGCGAATTATCGGCCGCGGAACGTCATACTGAGACGGCACATTTCACGAACGCCCGAATGAAGCCGTTGAGCTAAGTCGCAGCCACCAGAGACCCGGTAAAAGTCGCGGAATGGCAAGCATGGAACGCTTTTTCAGAAAGTTTCAAATCCCGCTCGCGGTTCTCAAGCGGCGCACCTTGTCCGTGTGGTGCGTCAGAGTGTGCTCGCACTTGCCCGTCGTGATGTCCCACGCCTTGATTGTTGTGTCCGCGGAACAACTGGCCAGCACGTTTCTGCAAAAATGATGTTGGAGGCATAACACTTTCCGCCTTGCACCCTGAAACATTCGGCGGGGAACGGGAGCACCCTGACAAGGGCAGAGATTGTCTGCAGTTCTAATTTGGAAGGTACGGAGAATTACGCTCGAAAAGAGACTCTGATACCTATCAACGCGTCAACACCAGGAAAAGGATCGACACCTAACTCTAGACTCCAACAAAGATGGTGATAGCGGAAGACCGGAAACGGCTTATTGACAAGCTGAGGACTTGAGCACATGCGAGTTGAGGAGTTGACCAGGCTCCCCACTCCGCCACAGGACCGCTTAAAGTGGAAACCGGGGCAAGGCATCTTAGTGCTGCGTAGAAGAGGAGAAGCCTGCACGCATGCGCCAAGCAATTGATGGGTGCACAGTGACCCACCTAAACTCCGCGTTCCACGCCAGGCCCAGCACCGAGTCGGTATGACTCCCCTCCTTGAGGTTGCGCTGCAGACCACGATGCGACCGCGTCAGTAGGCTCAATTTCGAGACTGTTTCCGTCTCACCAGACCTTACGTAGTCGTTGTCTCCAATGATGCAACGGTAGTCTCCTCCTTCCTCATCGAGCCCCAACAGGTGGGAAAATGAACGACAATCGCGTTTTGCAGGCATGTTGAGGGTCAGGACCAAAGCGACAGCTGGTTGAGTGCAAGAGTATTCTTCGCAATCTATCCGGACCGATTTCCAATCCGTAATTTACTTCGAAAAATTGAATAATGTATGAATGGATCAGGGTTCTAAAAGCCCGCACAGCAATCGCGTAGGTCAACAAGAAACCGCACAAACAAAGCGGGGCAACAGAACCGGATAGTAGGCAGTTGTCGTTTACAGACCGAGGGTAAGCATCCACTGACCCTGCCGGGGGCCATTTGCCCTGCAAACGCTAAAGATTGATTCATATACCAAAAGATTTGAACGAGCGACCGTTGACGGCCGCCGAAGGCTCACCTTCTTCTTCTTCTTGCTCTTCTTTTTCTTTTTCCCATCCTCGCTGGTTGGTTCGTCCTCAGCAGCCGTCCCCTCCTCTTCGTAGCCGCCCAACGTTTGCACGGGCTCGACCGCATCCAGCTGCGGAAGCGACCGGTGTCAATAAAAGAATTTGACAAGCTTGAAGGCCTACCACGAGACTCAGTCGCGTGAACTTATGCATCGACCGGCAAGAGGCTGAGGCCACTGCAAATTTTTGCATGCCTAATCTGAGGAAACCCAACAACCAAAACGAAGCAACGCAAAGTAGCACCAAAAAGAGGATGTGACCCCTACACCAACCAAGGAGGTCGACCCAAACAAGAAAGCCTAAACCGCTCACCCATACAACTTGTTCAAACTACTTCCTAGAAGTCGACTCGCTCAGATCCCTGACAGACCTTCATCCGCCTTCCTCAAAGCTAGTCTGACCATAACCGCTTTCTCCTGGGCAGAAGGATCATCCGCCGTCTCGCCTCAACAGGCAGCCAGACCGTTCAGCAAACCCAAGGGTTCTTACCACGTCCAAGTCCCAGATCTCAATCTCCGGCATGAGCGTCCCAACAGCCACCATGTTGCCTGCAAGACGATCGGCAATTGCTTGTCAGCCGGAATGCGCACTAGCGCCATTGAGGCGTCGCACAACAGCCTCAGGATGCACTGAAACAGAAACAAAAGGAAAGTTCGACCGCCTCTTCTCTGACACTCAAGCACGGTACCAGAACAAGAAGTTCCCTGACTTACTTCCCCTTCCAGATGACTCTACTCTTTAGCTGTGGCAGACATACAATTCCGACTCACTCACATCGCACTCGTTCCAAAAAGGTACTTCCAACAGCAAGTGCTCCAAAGTCGTCCCATCGAATCAACCCGGTGGATCCGACCCGTATGTTACTAACAAGTATCGGAGCAGGGCCTAGGCCCACCTTTACTGGCGGCCGGGTCTGCAGCAGTGGCAGCCGGGTTGCAGTCCATCCAGGCGAGCGCAAGGGGAAAGGCGGGCAGCATGATGTCATGGTGCACGTACAGGTTGTCGAACTCGTCGCCCTGCGCCTCCTCGTACACCCACACCTGGCAAAGCGGGAATGATGCTATTGCGACAAACGTGCGTTCTTCCAAACTACTGGTACGACATCCAACGGTCACGGAAAGATGGGGACTACGTACTTCGTCGCTGCAAAGCTGAGCATCTTCGTATAGGCGGAACCGCCTGCTGTGGTGAAAAGTACGAGGTTTGCCAGGACTTTGAAACAAGATCAACAGTATCATACTTTTGATTGGAGTGATTCAATAAATCGATCACGAAGCTCCGATCAGAACGACTGAGAAGGCCAAACGTTATGCTCGAGCGATAGGACGTGAACTGGCCTTCGCCCTACCTCAATGTTGCTGACGTCATCCTCGTTGCGTGCTGTCAGCAGCAGCAGATCCGAGTCCCGAATGGTAAAGTCGTCGATCTCCTCTGAATCATCGTCCTGCACGGAGGGGAGCAGCAGCCTCGATACGTCAACTGGCAGCGGCTCTCTGCTTCTTCGGTATACTGGTACGTAAGTACTCCACCAGACACTAGATACATGGCTAGATTAGAGCGTCCGGACTCTACAAGTCACGAGCCGTTGAACCCAAGACCTCACGTCCCGTTTCGGGGAGCAGGATTCTGATGCGGTTGTTTGTTTTGAAGCTCTGCATTCGCGAGGGGAAGGCCGCCGTCGACTATGTCTAGCGATCCAAAACGAGTGTCATCCACCGACACGGGTGCTCTGCTCCCAACGAGCCCGGCAGATTACAGTGTTGCATTGCTCCGCTTCTTACATCTAGACCGCAGAAGCGCGAAATGGCCTGAAAACGGCCACAAACCACAGCGCTGCCGCTGTTTGATGATGTCGAGAAGTGAACGCTTTAGATTGAGATCGTTTTCGCTAAGTTTGTAACAAAATCAGGTAGTAAACCTCTTCGTGGAGATAACTTGCGTTCCCCGGACTAAAGCTTGCAAACTTAGACCTTACATCGGACGTTTGCGCTGCGACGTCAAGCATTGCAGGATTTCCAACCGTCTTGTATTCCAAAGCATACCTGATGTTTCCAGACTAGCTTTGGTAAACTAGGCGGTGTGCATCTGATTCTACATGCTCTTCTGTGCAGAAACGAGCCCAACAGGACTTTCGAGTGAGTGACTGACTAGTCGTCAAGATCGCTTGACTAGCACATCATTTCTTTAATGGAGGCAAGCACACTTTCAATGCCTTCCAATCTGAAAACGCAACTTACAGAAGAAAGGCAGGAAGAATGCGTACCCCTTTTAAGGTGATGTAAGGATCGTCTTCGCTGCTGATGTACTGTGCATTGCCCAGGCCCCCGTTGCCAAAGAGCCGCTCGGTGTCTGCAAAGTTGCGGAAAGGGACCCAAGACATTAGGAGGAGAACGTCTTTTCCAACGAAGTCCCTCTCGACCAAACCGTTAATTTCTTCGAAATCAAATGAACTTGAACCTTCAAGAAGCTTTCATAACAAGCAGCTAATACCAAGTTCACCTTGACAATATAGAACCTTGGGGCGACTCCTCGAGGGAGGATTTGTGTCACTGCTTACAGTTGTGGCGGCAACACTATGCAGCAAGTCTCAGCCCAAATCGCCCCGCTTTTATCGTGTCCATCATAGCTTGGACTTTCCGAGGGAAGTGACAATCTCAATCCGCAAAACACCCTTCCCCTATCCTTTGCCCCAGTCCCAATCTTCCCCCGCTCTCACCTGCCTGCTCGTCCTCCTGGTCATAGTTGTCCATATCTAGTTCTGCCAGGCCAGCCGCCAGTGCATCGGTGCTTTTTTTGGCCGCGCGCTTGCCCTTTCCTCCCCCAAGAGCGGCCGCCACCGCCCTTGCCTGCTCTGCGGGGTCAGCTTCCTCCTCCATGCCCCCTTCTTCCTCCTCCTCATTTTCGTCATCTTCCTCCCACTCATCCTCTTCATCGCTGTACAGAAATTCGAATTTCACCAAGGATGAGAATTAGGGTTTCAGGAACAGAGTCGTGATGGGTCGGTGGTGCACCACATTAGCATCACACCACCACCATCAAAGGTGTCAGATTAGGGTTAGGGTTAAGAAGCCCCAAGACCTCGCAAAAGAAACCTGCTTTGAGCTATGAGGAATGTACAGCCCAACAAATTCCTGGGTACGTCACGAAGGTTACGCTCTGCTATTTTCCAAAAATCTGACGCCTGAAGATGTGTAAAGCTGCAGCCTACAAAAAACAAAACTTCGACTCTTAACAACATTGAAAGCTCAACTGGACTCTGGTAATGGTGCACCAATCAGGTGCCATCACAGCATTGCTCAAGATTGCTTAATAAGAAGTAAAACATTTCTTCTACAATACTTGGAGTGCCACCAGCTTCTATAAAATCAGCTTTCAAGTAGGATTCCGAATGCACAAGGCAGGACGCTGAGAGCAGCAGTTTCCATGTGAATGCCCCTTATGCTGTGAACGAAGGTAGAAGTGACAGCTATGCAATGCCGCCTTCCTGCAACATCCGCGTCACAAAAGCAGTACGAAGCGCCGCTTGCGATGCTAAGTCGGCTAACCTGCTATCCTCGTCACCCTCGCCCCTGGTTTCCTGTGCTTTCAGTGCGGCTGCCTTCATAGCCTCAAGCTCCTCCTCAGTAGGGTCCACCGTGATGGGCGTTGTCTTTGCAGCGCCCTTGGGCACCCAGCACACTGAGCTGATCATGATGCTGGCTGGTTTGACAAATTTATGCAGCAAGAGTGGTGTTCCACCGCAAAGCAGAAGTTCTAGAAGAAAGAAAGACAAACCAATGGGTTTGTTCCTGCGCACCAGGATTTCTGTTCGTCACCAAGAAAATGCAGATGCGTCCTACGTTTCAACTTTCACGTTGCATGCTCTGAGTCTGACTTCTGAAAAGATGCAGCTCAACCTTTAACTCTTGCAACCATTTTTGAACTTGTTCAATGTCCGCCGCCGCAAGGCCTCCATCACGAGACTTTGCATCAGGGGCTATCAGTATATCCTGTGGAGGCCCTGTAGACAAGCACTTTCTCGGTAATGGTTTTGCTTCCCTAGAACTTTCCAGAGAATCTCTCTAGCTGTGCAATTCTGCATCCTCTTCCAATTTCAGCACAGGCGCTCCAACAAAGCAACAACAAGCTGCAACGAAATCCGCTTTTGCCACATTCCAAGCCGAAGCGCCCCCCAAAAGTAGAACGCATACTCTGAAGCCAGCGTCTTCCTGACGACTCTTCGTCAAGTTGCTCGAACAGCGTCAGAATGGCGTGCATTGCGGCTCTGCAGAGTGCGGGAGTGGTTATGCAGAAGTCTTTGACCACCTTGCCAGCGTGCTCCTCTACCAACATCAGGAGCTTTGCGGCCTTCACTGGCCTGAGAAAGGACCCTTTTGCTGCCACATCACGGGCCTCAGCGAGGACTGTGCACAGGCGGCAGTCTGGGGTGCGAGCGTCTACAGCAGTGAGCACCAAGGTGAGCTTGCAGAGGATGTTTTAAGGGCTTGACGAATGCCGTGTATCTGTAATATTAGGATCCGTAGCACTCTTCAATTGTCTCGAGAAGCATGAGCTGAAATTTTCACGAAAAATTCATGATTGCAGTCGCTGACAAGAAGAATAAAAATGCATATTGCACACAATGCAAAGTTCCTCTAGGAACATCCTGCAAAGGGCGGGTAGAAGTGATGGTACTCCAGAGGCCATCAGCACTTGCATCGCATGTGCTATATCCTACCGGAGGCTGTGTCAACCTTTACCAAGAGCGGCTGCTACATGTGCTGAACCCTGACTTCAGATGCCGCGCTTTGCCTTCTCGGGTTGATTGAATGAACACTTTATACTGCGCACAATCTGCAGTTCACAACTATCAAGCCTGTGGGGGACCGCATTCTGGTGAAGAAAGAGAAGGCTCAGGAGAAGACCAGTGGTGGCATTCTGCTCCCGTCCACAGCACAGAACAAGCCTACTTCTGGTTCAGTTGTGGCACTTGGCGAGGGGAAAACTCTGCCAAATGGAAAGAAGATTGAAGTTGGGCTTTCGGTAAGTTGCCCGAGCATGTTCTGTTCACAATGATGTCAATGCCAACCTAGGGATTTACTCCTGATCTATGTGACTGGTTGGAGCCTTTTGCAAATCTTCATTGGACGAGTTACCAAAGCTGTTGTGAGCCATCGCCATGAAGTCAGTTCAGATTCAAACGACGACCACCTTTGATCGCCAATTGAGGCAAAAAACACCGGTTGCAAGTGCGGTTCACACATTTCAACGTCGGAGAATATCCGTGGCTGTTTCCACATCCTGGCTGGCATGCGCCGTAACAGTTCGTTTTCTGCACTCCACTCCCAGCCAATCAAGGCTTGCCTTAGCTGAAAGGCATCAATGTGCTGGTGCAGACTGGCAGCAAGGTAATCTACTCCAGATATGCGGGTACCGAGGTTGAGTTCCAGGGAGAGGAGCACCTCATCCTGAAGGAGGAAGATGTGATTGGGCTGTTGGACTCAGATGATGTGAAGGACATGAAGCCCCTCGGAGATAGAGTTCTGATTAAGGTAAGTGATTTCTCAGTTCGACGCGGACTAATCCCGTGTTTCCTAGTGGCCACTGCCGTTTGATTGGAGGAAACTTACTTTCAATGTAAACTTGGGAAGTCGAGATTGCAGCTGTCACAACAAGCAAGGTTGCTCTCTGAGTGCCGCCTGTCTTTCTCAAAACACGTTGACAAGGAACTGTGTCTTTCATAGCGGTTGTTCTGGCGGTTCTCGTGTATGGATGTGGAAGCGCCTCTCTTTCACATATGGAAAAGGAAGTCTCAATCACATGAGATTGCATGAGTTTCGACAGCTTTGTGCACATACTAGCGGTCTAGTTTGAAGCTACGTTGCTAGGTCAAGGGTGATTTACGAAGCCGTTATTGAAGCGAAGATAGTAAGTCACATGTGTAACTCTTCCTGCTCTGGTCGACAGGTAGCTGCTGCTGAGGAGAAGACCCAGGGGGGGATCATCTTGACGGATAGCACAAAAGAAAAGCCAGTTATTGGAACGGTGAGCCATGCACCTTAATGTGAATGCTTGAATGTCTTCCACTTTTGGCCGACTACTGATTGGAAAGCTTCCCAACCGTCTCTCTGGAAAGCTTCCTAACCGTTTGCTCAAGTTTGGAATGCTTTTGTAGACCATAGTCGTCCTGGAATTCTGAATTTTGTCCAACAAGCATAGTTACATCTGTTTCTGAACGACTTCTCGCATCGGGAAACGGCCTCTGGCGTAGTCGGTTTCACGTTTTTGGGGTCTCTAGACATGCCTGTATCAGTTGTGCCGATTACAAGTATGGCGAAGGTCTTGCAGCGTTCTGTCTCCGTCATCAGGATTCCAGACTCAAAAGGTCTCTTCTGTTGGTGGGAGCATACAATATCAAGTCGCTCGCTTTTGCTCTGTTAGGTTGCCGCTGCGGGACCCGGCCCCCTCGACGAGGAGGGCAACAGGAAGGGCCTTGATCTGAAGGAGGGCAGCACAGTTCTCTACTCGAAGTACGCCGGCACCGAGATGAAGGGCAAAGACGACTCCGCTTATGTCGTTATGAGAGCACAAGACGTCCTTGCTGTGCTCTCATAAACGTCAGAATCATTATAGACAGGAATTAAGCATAATCTACCAGTTCATCAATGTATCATTGCCGGACGTGTACTCGGGGGACAGTTTTGGTCTGACAGTGATAAAATATAGACTCGAGTGCTGGCATGTGAAGCCAGCTGTTGATTGGAAGTTAAGCTTCATGAGTCGGGCCGACATGGCCCAAAAGCTGAACGATTATAACGTTGCTAGGGCCGGCCTGCATGACCCCAATTCTTGCCAATGCAAGTTCTTTCCTAATGGCGGCGGTCGTGGCTATCTCAGACGAGGGCACACCAAACCTTTAGCTTAAGTATCCAAATCAAGTTTATCGCATGGCGGCCGCACTCATGTCGAATCAATATTGTCAAGATCGTTCTTGTGACGATAATTGACGGCACTCACGTTCAATTGATAGCTATCATCCACGACGGTTGACGTCATGCCCAGCTGGTGTGTGTAGGTCATGGACCATATACCCCAGCCTGTATGTACGCATAGATATCTGGCATGGGACCGTCAGTTTGCATACATTAGTACGTGGTGCCAGGAATCATAGGATCCGACATAATGGTCGATCGTCCAGCGCGCGCGGCCGGTCGACCATCTAGATAAGATGGAGACACGAACAGGCCATGTTGGTAATCATTCTAAAGATAGCAAAGACATGCCACACCAGGCGGAGAATGACAAATGTGGGCCGGAAGCCAAAAGCTACTTAGGCATGCCGAGGAGATGCTGAAAATACATTCCCAATTCGAATTGTTCCGAGACGCCATCAGCGCGGTTGTTACGGTTGAAAGAAAGGCAGCATTCGTACATGCTCTCCGCCTTGCCAGGCAAGAACTGGACCTAAATCCAGACGCACCCTTGAAATCCGATTGAAGCGGATCAGGAGGGCTACCCGATAGCCACTGTCCACTACGTCACAGTCATAGATGAGCCATTGTCATTGACATTGATGCTCAGAATCAGGTCTGCGGCGTCCCGTGACCTGCATGACAAGCAAAAGCATGACTCCTCAGGAACACACTAGCAGTATGACGTTCGTTAAGATTTGCAATCTAAAGAAAATGTGGCTCCTTGGTGGCAGTTGCTTTTGCGTGCAAGCTCAAAACAGGGCCTTGCGGAAGCTGAATGTCAGGCGTGAATTTCAAAGCTCGACAAATCGATTGACTGTCCACTCTCCGGCCAACCTTTCTCTCATACCCGGGCGCTGCTCTTCCTTTTGTGTGCGTTCCCGAAACACAGATATGCGGGTTACATGCTGGATTCCGAATGCGATCCCAAATCCGCGCAGAGATCGGGGCAGAAATTCGTGGGAGTGAGGCAGATTCAAGAGAAATCTAGGAAATAGCCGCATTCTGAAGCCTGACTTGCTGAAAGACGCCTATTTCGGATAGTCCGTCCTGAAACTGTCGCCTCAGAACCTCGTCAAGCGAACGAACCGAGCTAAAAGCCGGGTCTGAGTCAAGGTTCTTACCACGTGTCCGGTGTCTGGTACATGGACGCGGACGATCCGAAGCAGGACTGCAGCATGTCCGTGTTGATGACCCCCGGGTTCAGAGCCACTGCTATGCAGCCACGTGGCAGCTCCCGGGCCAAGGAGCGGGACATGCCCTCGACGCCCCACTTGGTGGTGCAGTACGGAGCAACCTGCGGTGAAAGTCGGAGCAGTGTTCAAGAAGGGTTCAGGGTAATTCCTGTCAAACTTCGACCGTTGATTAGGGTGCAAGTATCAGACATGGAAAGCTTTCTGGCTGCGGATCAGCCGTCCGAATCCAAATAGACGACGAAGGGTGGCCGTCGTGAGCGCCCTACCTTCAACGTATCAAATTGACGTATCAAACTCCAAAAAGCCAACCGCTGGTTTTTGCTGGTGAGCCTTACTAGCGGACCGCATGCTGACGAAGTAGGACCACGGGAGAGGTTCGAAAGGCAGGCACTTTCAAATCGATCGACGGGAGAGCTTGGTGTGCAAGGGGAGGGCTTCCAAAGAAAAGAGAGGGTGGTCGGGTTCGCAGAGGAGTAAACGAACGTCCCTTTGCCGAGGGGTCCTTCAGTGAGGGTCCTGACTAGCTCAGGCCACCTTCTGAAAGAGCGCTTCAGTAGTCGAAAGCGCTCCACAAACGCAAACTACACGCTACAGACCAAGTCTAGCGTTGCTTGGAGCATCAACAGAGTCGTCAACAATTTCTCGAGCTCAGAGACGGAACTGTGATTCAACCCGCCGACTAGAAGCGGCGAGCATAAGAAGGAAGGTGGCTCTAATAAGGACTTGGTTCCCATGCCACTTACGTCTGGCGCTGCGCTCCGGCCCCACCCCGACGACATGTTTACAATGACGCCCTTCTGCTTCGCGACCATGTGAGGAACAAAGTGCCTGAAAGCGGAGACAAGCAACGAGATCGTTTGAATTGCTTTTGTAAATCTTCAAAGTTTGCAAGATTGTTTGAATTGCTTTTGTAGATCTTCAGAGTGTGCATCTTCGGACAAATCTCCTGTGTCACCAGATTGTCAACAGCTTGAACGGCCAAGGACATACTCGGGCACCTTACCCTCGCACCCAAGATGATGCACGGCCAGTCTGCAATTCAAAAGGTGCGAAGCTTGCGGAAGTCGACGTTATATCCAAGTCCCGGCCTTTGTGGGAGCTATCGAACCATCCGTGGAAAGGAACATCTTGGGTGCGAGACTAAGGGGGCCCGAGATAGGATTCTATCTCACCGTTTCTCATAGACTGCATCTACTGTGCTCCAGCTGAGTGCTGATCTGACCTGGCTTTTAATAATCACAGTCGAAATGAGCATCTGCACAGGGGGCTCGTCGAACTACGGAGGCCATTGGGGCTGCCAAAGCATTGGGGCCTTATTTCGTTTGCAGGACTGCGAAACGTCAGGGTTGACAGCACACAGTCTTCGCCTCTCCACCGAGCTTATCACAAGACGAAACCGTTCTGACGCCCTTTATTCATGATTTCCAGACAGCTACCGCTTTGGCTTGAAGAATCGGTTCACGGGCGACATACCTGATAACGTTGGCCGTCCCTTTTATGTTGACGTCAATGACCGCATCAAACTCCTCAACGGGTACCTCCCACAGCGGTGCGTTCTTGTTGATGAGCCCAGCGTTATTTACTGCAGGCGACCCACGTACATCAAATGAAACGCCTGCGCTTTGATTGTGGGCCAAAAAGCAATCCCACGTGTAGTTACGTTTTAATACAGAGTCGAATGAGAAACGGATGGGAGAAAAAAGGGGTTCTCACCAAGGATGTCTGGAACTCCGAACCTTTCGACAGTGGCGTCGGCCCAGCTCTTCACCTCCTTGTCGGCCGCCTACATGAAAACGCTGGATTGCGTTCAGGATTCTCCCACTGTTCCTTGTCAATGAGTAGGGCTGTCGAAAGGAGCCAATCAGCATACGGAGAATGATACCGACGCCCTTGCTTCGAAGTTGGGCGCTGCAGGCTTTCAAAGGGGGGACGCAATTTTCGAGGTGGTGACTATCCGACGACTTGCGGCAGATTGCACATCAAACAGACCGGACGTCTTCTGACAGGACAGCAACTTGTTAGGCAACTTACCACATCCACCGCTGAAAACGAGTGTCGATCACCTAGCCTGTCCGCAAGTTCTTTCACAGCTGCTTCCGATCGTGCACAACCTTGAAGGGGAGGAGTTGCGTACATCAGTGCATTGGAAAGCTTGCGTTCTCTAGCGGCTCAAAAGCACATAGATTCAATGTCCTGGCCCTTCTCAAATCGATGCAAGCAAATTTGCATTGCAGGTTGTGAAGCCCAACTCTGTTAAGGATTGCACTGGACGGAGGGGAAGCCTGCCATAACACCGTGATATCTTTGGAGGTTGATAAGGAATTTGTGACGGAACATCCTGATTGGTTCCCTTGGAGAGCCTCACCTACGACAGTGTGTCCCCGAGACGCAAGTTCCACCGCCAACGATTGGCCCTGCCCATGTCAGAATACAAGTGCCAATGTTTACAGAAGACAAGGTGGAAAAAATTTTGTGTGCAAAGAGAAGATATGATGATCATGTTGTCTCCACGACAGCATTCGTTCTATCCCAGACCCTTGCAGCTGCTCTAGTACAAAAGTCCCATGACACACATGATGTGATTGAGCAGGGTCAGAATTTTGGTCACATGATGGTTCTTATGCTGATCGTTGAGCGTCATTGCGGGGTGTAGCAAACCAAGCCTTGAGGGGCCTAAGAGCTTCAGGTAGAGGACCACTCACCAGGCCCTTGCTCACCCCCGTCACAACAATAACCTTACCTGGGCAATGTAATCGCGTCAATGAGAAGATGCATACCCAGGTGCAGGAAACGAAGGCATCAAGCCCCAAGGGCCTGGCTAGTGCTCAAACATGCTTTCAAAATACATGATTGTACAGGCGCAATGCATTGCGCTCTTCACTTGAATTGGGCAAGCATGGTCAAGCTGAACTCTCAGTTTAAGGCATGCTACTGACTCCGTTCTCGAAGACTTTATATTCCTGCCTTGTTGAGTCCTCACCATCTTGCGGAGTGTCGCCCCCAGCCCCCATGCTTCGGGCCAGTGGCGGTCTCCGGCCCCCTTGCGTGAATTGCCAATTTCCTCCGGTAAGACCCTTTGAAGAGAACAATTGGCTACAGGTACGCAGCCCTAGGTCTCCTAAACACGGCTCAGAAGCATTTGAGCATGCATAGCCAGCATAAGACAGCTGCCTGCGGCGTATGGATGATGACAGGAGTACCGATTCTACGGAGCGAAAGCAGCTTACTGTGTGGCAAGATTTTGCTTCCAAACAGGGGGCTTCCCTCTTCGTTAAGCGGGGGCAGAATGCTGACCCCAGCTGCGATCTCAAAGGCGAATGAGCCGCCTTTGCTGCGGCCATGGTCCCATTGCAATTTGAATGCGGTCCTCTTGTCTCGTGACTCAGAGCTCTGTGAAGTCCACACCATTTCTACCTAATAAACCTTTTTTGGGGGGCGCAACACGGCCAGCACTGCGATACCGTATGTACTCCTCGATAAATGTCTCGGTCAAGGACACTCCAAGTTACCGTAGACCAGACTTGCACAAACCCCCGTTTGAATTGTTCCACAGGGCCACATCGAACTCCGTCGATCGCCTCATGCGGGCCGCGGAAGCAGCTTTTGGTTCGACATCGAATCTAAACTAGAAACCCCGATTTCTGAACCACATTTTAACCCGGCAAGGAGAAGTGCTGTTAACAAAACCTGCAATGAAGGAGACGAAGCGGGCGTATATTGAACTTGAAGCGCAGCTGAAGCCTGAGCTGTCCTAGCCTGATTGCCAGCTGAAGTCTGCCAGTGCAAGGACGATCTCCACAATCTAGCGCCCTGGTTGCTGCTTTGCCACTGTGTCTCCAAGCAGCAGCTCGCAAAGCATTTGTACGCTCTTGAAACACTCAGCTGGTTGCTTGCACTCTCCAATCGCCTCGTGCGCATCGGCAGACTCAGTCAAGATGTCAGGACGGAAAAGAACCTTGCTGAAGGTTATCATCCTTGGTGACAGCGGGTAAGCCTGCGCCTATGGAAGAATTTTGCTTTGCATGCTTGTTTTGATTCCCTTCAAAGCATTCCGCAGAGTCTGCAGAAGCTCAGGTTTATGCGTGAAACCCTATTCACAGTCTCTTGCACGGGAGGAAATAGTTGGTCAGGGAGCTCAATCAAATTCGCTCAAAAGCACGGAAATATGCATGCAACCAAGCTCCTCCCCTGATTGTAGACTAATCAATTGCCATGGTGTCCTACTTAGGGTTGGTAAGACATCATTGATGAATCAGTACGTCAACAAGAAGTTCAGCAACCAGTACAAGGCAACCATTGGAGCAGACTTCCTCACAAAAGAAGTGCAGGTCGACGACAGGCTAGTGACCATGCAAGTGAGCAGCGCGTCCATCCTCCATGAGTCGTTGTCAAATCATTTAGATTCCTCAAAATTCAGTGTGTCTAGATTCTCTAGAGTTTTGAGTGGCAAAGCTTGGTCGGTCTCTTAAGAAGTTCAATTTTGAGGACTCATCCGCTCAATGAAAATTTCAATGACCTTTCGGAAAAGTACGGAAGTGGCTTGAATGCCACTTACATTAGCTTGGGCTTCTTGCTTCTGTAGATCCTTTTTCCAACCTCTCAGCAAGCGAATTGTGCCAGTCTGAAATGCGAAGTTGTGGTTTGAAGCCTCAATTGTAATGATGTGATGAGGGGCGGAGTCTGTTGTGAGCATTCTACGTTATGAAGTCATGGCATTGCTCTCTCTGTCTCCCTCAGCTCTGGGACACGGCCGGTCAGGAAAGGTTTCAGAGCCTTGGCGTGGCATTCTATCGGGGGGCTGACTGCTGCGTGCTAGTGTACGACGTCAATGTCAACAAGACGTTCGACAACTTGGATAATTGGCGGGAAGAGTTCCTGATCCAGGTATGTCCTGAAATGCACTTTTCTCGCCGTTCTTCACTTCAACGATTGAGACATCAAGGTAGATATACCTCTAGGGTTCTGTCAACACCTTCTTTTGGGAAGGTTGTGAATTCAGAGAGAACGGACTGGCGTGGTCCCAAGGCCTCTGCTTTGCTCAAAGGCTGTTGGCATGAAGCTTAGCGATCAGCTTGTGCCCGCCCATCAAATATTCAAAGGCGAACCAAGAATCTGTAATTTGGACAAAGGCGAACAGCTTGCTGCTCCACTCTCTGGAAGTGGTGGAGATGCCGTTGTTTTCCTTTGGCGCTGCTCGCTGTCTATCCAGGGTCAGTTCTCGGGAGGCTTTCAATTGTAACCAGTTCTCAATCTCATGTGGTTTCATATCTACTTACAAATTCAATCAAATGTTTTTCCTTGGTGATCTTTACAGTTTCATATCTACTTACAAACCCAATCAAATCTTTTTGCTTGGTGATCTTTACAGGCGAGCCCGTCCGACCCAGAGAACTTCCCCTTTGTTGTGCTCGGGAATAAGGTGGATGTAGATGGGGGCAACAGCAGAGTGGTGAGCCCTTCAATCCAGCCGGTCTGCAGTTCTGGTTATTCAAATTGAGCAAGGTGGTCTCAATCTGTCTGCCGGTCACTCAGTCGAGTCTTGCTCCTTCATTGTATGCCGGCTGGCCGGCTCCTGGTTTCTCTATGGCTCATGAAGCACGTTGCCCACCTTATGCAAGGGCTTGATGGAACACAAGTTTAGGGCAATTTTAGGCTAGGCTAGTTGATATCGGAGGAATGAAGCTGCTATACATTAGGAGTTGCGGTGTAGCTGCGTACGATGATGGGGCGTGGACAGATTGACGAGTGTCGCTTCTTTTTTACAGGGTCTTCTGTAGTCGTTCTGTCTGATTCATCGATGAATCGTCCTCAGCCTACTGAAAGGCCTGGCTCGCGGTCTGGACGGTCCGATTGCGATCCACCACCAATTGGAGTGTGCGAGCTAGGGAGTCCTGGGGTTAAGGAGAGGTGTGGCGAACTCTTGTGGAGGCCGGTTCTGGATAAACGTTCGGGGAATTTTTCATTGCCATGCTTTCGGTAATTCTGTTTGTCATTTGTCCAGGTATCAGAGAAGAAGGCCAAGGCGTGGAGCGCTTCCAAGGGCAACATCCCGTACTTCGAGACGTCTGCAAAGGAGGACTACAACGTGGATGCGGCTTTCCAGATCATCGCAAAGAATGCCCTCAAGAACGAGACTGAGGAAGAGATGTGAGTCGAACCGTTCTTGATCTGGACGAATGCTCCTCTTATGTTGCTGACGGCAAGCAGGGGCCAATACTCGAGCAATGCGGCTGCCATCAGAGGGAGTGAAGGAGTTTATCAGCAATTCTCGAAGTTTGTCCCCCTTCGTTGTCCTCAGCCTTAAGCTCAGTTCGATGCATAAAGCAATAGTGCGGTTTGGGCCGATGTCTTTCGTCCTTTTGTGTGGTAAGAAGCGCAGTCTTTGCTGTTCTGTTGATTTGTAACGGTCAGGCAGTCCATCCTTCTGGTGGTCATCGTTGTCACTTTGTCGGAGATACCTTCTTTGAGAAGAAAGGACTTCTTAGCGATGATCTGACGGCGGTGATGACCCTTTCTTTCTTGCAGTTACCTACCTGACACGATTGACGTCAACGCTCAACGACCACAAAAGTCGTCAGGTTGCGAATGCTGATTTGGAAGCCGCAACAAGCAGTTGCAGTGGCAAAGCGCCTCTTTGTTGCAAGCAGTTCCGCTTACGTAGACTTGTAATCGAATGTCATTGCTTGCATATGTGTACAGAGATACTTACTTTGTTACAGAAACACTCCTTTCGACCTGGTAAACATAAACGAAACATGTGTGTCAGTATATTTTCATTCTCTTCCAGTCTATGCTGGCTTCACCAACCATGCTACGGCGGTATTGCTAACTGCAAATCCTCGAGCCGTGTACTCATCCTAAAGCTTGTAGAGGAGGGGTTGGCAGCGAGAAATTGCATGAGAGCGAGCAGTCATTGCTGCTTCGTTTGTACAAGAGCGCGGCTAGGTGCCAGGTCACAGTATACGTTAAATTGCCACACAACAGGTACGACCGGCCATGCAATCTGACGTGCACAAGCTAATGACTTGATTCAATCGCGGCCCAGACTCGATGAGCTAGTAAGTTATTGGGGGCGCGGCGCGCCCGGTGCTGTGCTCGCTCGCTTTACATGTCACTGCGCGCGCTGCAATCATTGGATCTGAAACACTCCGATCCAGGCCTGCATGCACTTCATCGATCCATGTAGTCGAATATAGCATGGGTTGATTGATCCATATTTGACCGTCAGACTATAGCTAGCAATTCCGTACCAGCGTTTATTTTCGTCGGTATGGGTGCCGAATTTTACAATCGATCATGGACATTTCGGCGGCGTGTCCCATATTTCTGACATTTCGTAAAATTGTGGCATTCCTCTGCTAAAGATGACCATTTAGTACCAGCCTTTACCGGGCCCTCAAATATATTATTCGACCTTTTCGTCATCCAAGAAAAACAACTTCCTAAACTTTCGGCAGCCCAAATAATCATCTATCTAAAAACGATCCGACTCGAATAAAACGCTGGTACTAACGGTAGCTGTGATTTATGCAAAAGTTCCTACGATCAAGTGCACTGTAACTGCCAAGTATCTGCATCACATATGGCGGCATATGGGCGCTTACTACTTAATCGAACCAGTAGCTGATCATGTGATCAGAGTTGGCCAAGACTTGGCTCGCACTGCAGCTCCAGCGATCTCCGCCGGGAGCGAGTAGCACAATCGAATAAAAGCAAACGAGATCAGTGACGACGTACGGTATGCTGGAAAGTGCACACGTGAGTGCTTTCATGTTTCTTCGATTGTTTATTTCACATTCGGGTGTTCTTGTGACGATCTGAATGTCACTCCGACGGCCCTTTCAAAGACGATCCGACATTCTTTCGTAGTACATGTGTCGGACTCCACGTAAATATACAATTGCAGTATATGCTAGCTATTCCAATCGAACTTCGGAATGTTTGCATGGACAACTACGTTACTCTAACGTCAGATATGGCTGCTGGAAACTGATCAAACGCATGCTGATATCTTAGTAATCCACCTCGAGAACAGGAGCGTGCAACTTGACGGAAGACAGCTCACGAGAATTTTCTGCTGAAAGAGGCGCACTTTCCGTTATCACTTAAGCGACTGTTAAAAAAAGTCCGGAATTCGACAAACTGTTCTAGCAGCCTTTCGTAAAAGCAAGCAACTTAGTGACTTCCTAATCCAGTCTTGCTGCTGTACACAAACAACTTCGAGCTCGGGTCATCAAACTAAAGTCTATATACCCCATACAAAGTTTCCGATTTGATCTATAGATGTCAAAATTCACTCCCTTTTTGATGTTCGCTTCACAGGCTTCTTCTGGCCTGCCAAGCGGGCTTTTCTTTGTCGGAACAAGTACAGGTACAGGTTGAGCCAAAGGAAAGGATACACGAGAAGGACGCCCTGGATGAAGAAAGAGAGAGCTACCATTCAGATGGTTCCAAGTACAACTCTTCCAGTCAAACCTTAATATTTTCGCAGAGTAGGCATTATCGGCCCTGACGATCGGCAGAACCGGCCAATCCAACAGTCAAAGATCGAGTAACGAAGGTCGAAACTCGAAGGGTGGCGAACCTGACGCAAACAGCAGACTAATGATACCCAGGACTCAAGTGGTGTAGAGGAGGAGTCAGAGTCATCGAGCCCATTGCGTGTGATCCCCAATCCCTCCAGAGCCATAAAGCTTACCCAGAGGAACTCGTGATAGCCAAAGGGCAGATGCTTGAAGTACTCCCCGTGCAAAGAGCGGTCCTTTATGTAGGGAAGGGCCTTATACATAAGAATCACTGCAAAAGGGCGAGGGCGACGAAACAATATTCATTTCCTCGTCCTGCTGAAAAGGCAAGATGCGTTTCAAAGATTCCTCGCCATCCGGATCTCAGGATGGTTTTCACAGCGGGAGTACATCCTCCAGAAATAAGTGCCCGGTTCATCATAGGAAGGTGGTCCGAAGCAGAATGGCATACCAGGGATTGAAATGCAAGTGAGCAATAACCGGATCCTTCATCTCGCTTCATATTGTATCCACTCTAATCTCTCAAACAAGAGAAATTGACCACCCGAGCCGCACCCGTGACCCGGCGCTTTTGACACCGACTGTTCAAACGGACTTCCCCCATCTCGAAAACCGTTGGCCTAATAATGTTTCTCGAGCCTGATTACCAAGGTCCGCGTCCAATCAAGTTTGTCCAATCGAACGAACCCGAGCCAGGGCTCAAGTGAAACTTCGGACACTAAGTGAATCACCATCTGGAAGGTTGATCTCGACCAGCTGCACCATACTAGAACGGCAGCAAGCTGCTCTAAGTGGCGTTGGACGTCGGACTCGCTGACGAAGCATTGAATCGGACTCAAGACCTGGGGACCTTACCTTCTCCGAGCACGCCTGCTGGGTACAGAGGGATGAAAGCCGTGTACCTGGACAACGAGAAGTGCACTGCTTGCTCTGATTTCGAGGCATTCGAACTTCCATTGCTGCCACTTCCGAAGGTCCTGCTGACTGGAGGTCTACCGAGAAGACCCTCTAAATATGATGCCAACGTGGAGTGCCCTTCGAGTGGCCATTTCGTCGTCCAGTTTCGAACTCCCCTCTGAGGAACGGGAAACGGACGGCTTTGTGCTGTTCAAGGTTTGGGCTCTTGTGAGGAACGATGGCGCAAGCAGATTGGACACCCCTTTGCCTTAGGTTGAAGCTTTCCCGAAAGCGAGGGGGCACGCCGACATTTACGGGACGCTACTTACCGGAGCCATACCAGCCACCTAGGGCTAGCTTTGATGGTCGCCAGTGCGTTTTGGGGGTACCGGATGATCTGTAGCACACACAGCAGGACCACTCTGAACGACTGTACTTCAATTTAGTTTCTTTCCAATCTCTTCACTAAGCATGCAGGTCGCTGTTCAAAGACGAGAAGAGACTTTCATAACATCGATGATGAGAATTGATCCAAAAAACTTTAACCAACTTGTCAATCTCTGCTTATGTGGAACGGACAGCCACCGCCAGACCAAACGAGTACCTCACGAACTGTTTCAAGAATCTGACCTGAAACGAAGTACGGTCAGCCTTCTGATTTCGTAATTGACATAAATTGAGTCCACTTATTTTGGTGTTCAGTACTATTGTAACTCACCTCAATCAAGGACCAAGCCAGGAGCATGATAGCGAGGGCCGGCTCGGATTGTAGCTGTACACATGGACGAGCGATCCAGTCAGAACCAGTGGTCGGCTGGCATACCAGGAATGTAGCACACGGCCATCCTCGAGAAACTTAACAGCGTTGTACGGATTTCGCATTACGTGACAACATCTTCCTGAGGACTGCGCCTGCCCATATGGAATCAGTGAGTCGGAGCTGCAAAACTCTCTTCACAACGAGCCGCAGCTTCTTATAACCCAGTCTTGACGTGAACAGAACATGGGGTCGGAAAGACCAGTAATCTGTGTTTGTCACTAATGGATGCAACCAACGCACTCACCTCAGGGACTGAGCCAATGACTGCATAGTAGACATGTAGGCGGCCAAGCCATTGAAGCAGTGTGTTCAGGGTGCCGCTGCGGACAAGGCCTGCAAAACAGGAGCAGAAGAGACTTGGTTCAAGCCTAAAGGCCTTCTTTAAGTCCATTTTCCCCTTCTCTGCAAGGTTAGTGGTGTTGTGCCCTTCAATACAGTAACAAAATGCTTCAGAGGGGCCATTTGGACGCCATCTCAAAACGCAAGTGCGAAAGACTATTAACAGGACATAATGTCTAAGATGCCACAGGATTCTCATCTGTGCGGAACATCCGGAGGGATAAGACAGAGTACACGAGGGGTGAAACTCTTACCCACTGCGGCATGAATAACTTCCAAGAAGGCGCCAAGCAGTAAGAATCCTGCCAGAGACAAGAAAAGCAGATCATGTCAATCTGATTCAGAAGAGATCAACAAGAAGCGTGCATATTGGGGACACAGACTCTGCACCAGGAACGCAACCACTTGCACCAGCCACCCACTGTTGTATAGCACCACCCCAATTGCGTTTCCACGTCCCAGTGACTCACGGCCTGGAGTTTCATTGCAGCCCCTTGGAGTTCAAACAAAGAGCTCAGTCAGTGGCCTCACCAACAACATCTTTGACCACCGAGTATGACTGGTCAAACGAGCCTGTTTTGAAGTAGTTGTCAAGAAGCAGGACGGCAACATACAACCTGCATCAACAGAATAATATCCAGTCATTCTGCCACCTGAACATGGGTCCGTTGCATTGTATGAAATTGGACCTACTGGTGGCACCGTCCTGCCATCCAAAGTCATGGGCATTGAGAGGCAAAGCGAGAATTAGTTGACAAGTGGTATCAATGAACGAGCTTACTTCGCTTGAATTTATGCAGGTTGCAATTTGAGACCAATGCCCAATTGAAACTAGTCTCTGAATCATTGCTGAGGTGCTGCTGAGGTTCTGCATTGGAGCTCTGCTGAGCACCCCTGTTCAGAATCTTTGCACAAGTGATTGTGGTTGGCTGAGTGCCCGCGTCAAGTCATCTGCCATTTGACCAATTGGAGTCTTTAGCTTGCTCAGGCAAGTGCAAGGAATTGTGGGCTAAGAAACTCACCAACCAAGGGCCTGCAGAAAATTGTATACCACCAGATAGGTTGCTTTGACCGCCATTGCTGTGGCCCTCGTCTGCCCCTTCTACTTCAGGTTCCAACGAGAAATGCAATTTCGTCCAGGGCCACAGACACGCATGTTCGACTTTGTACTCTTATGCCAAGTTTATGTTGACATTATGTAAGATATTGAAGGAAGAGCGATC